AGATGTCCGTAGAGTAAGGTAGGGATTAGCAAGGGCGAGTTGAACAAAGCTGACAAGGAAGATGTATGGGAGTTTGCAAAGATGTCCGTAGAGTAAGGTAGGGATTAGCAAGGGCGAGTTGAAAGATGATGTGGGAGTTTGCAAAGATGTCCGTAGAGTAAGGTAGGGATTAGTAAAGGAGAAAGGGATATAAGGGCAATGAGATCACAAATTCAGTAAGAATGTCAGGAGGGAGAGAATCTAGGAGAGGAGGCAAAGGACAAAGGATTACACCCAGGGGGAAGCGGGAGGGATAGTGGGTTAGGAGGGTGAATAATGCGGCTGAAGCAGGGGGGGGGGGGGGGGGGGCGAGATGTGTTGGGAGGGAGTGGGAGGAAAGGGTGTAGGGGTGGAACATGAGTAGGAGGCGGATGGTGTCAGCAGTTACTTTGAGTGTAGAAGGAATGGGAGTAGAGACATTGGAGGATGGTGTATGTTAACTTGGGTCATGATTAGATAGTTTGGAATGTTTTCGAGAGTTTCTGCTGTCAAGTCGGTTAGAGAAGTCTGAGAAACAAAGGTTTTCTTATGGGAGGGAGACGTGGAGAGAGAGGTTGATGGAGAGGATGGGGTAAAAGATGGGATGGAGCGTTAAGCTTGTCTTGTGCGATGAGTTGGGTGAGGAGGCAGAGGTTTGGGTACTGGAGTGTCTGAAATAGTGGAAGAGAATGCGATGTCTGGATTTAGACTGGCAAAAGAATTTGACTGGGAGAGCGAGGGGGTAGAAGTGGGATGAGGAAGAGATGCTGGGGGAGATGTAGAAACATCTTGGGAGGAAAGGGTGTAGGGGGTGGAACATGAGTAGGAGGCGGATGGGTGTCAGCAGTTACTTTGAGTGTAGAAGGAATGGGAGTAGAGACATTGGAGGATGGTGTATGTTAACTTGGGTCATGATTAGATAGTTTGGAATGTTTTCGAGAGTTTCTGCTGTCAAGTCGGTTAGAGAAGTCTGAGAAACAAAGGTTTTCTTATGGGAGGGAGACGTGGAGAGAGAGGTTGATGGAGAGGATGGGGTAAAAGATGGGATGGAGCGTTAAGCTTGTCTTGTGCGATGAGTTGGGTGAGGAGGCAGAGGTTTGGGTACTGGAGTGTCTGAAATAGTGGAAGAGAATGCGATATCTGGATTTAGAATGGCAAAAGAATTTGACTGGGAGAGCGAGGGGGTAGAAGTGGGATGAGGAAGAGATGCTGGGGGAGATGTAGAAACATCTTGGGAGGAAAGGGTGTAGGGGGTGGAACATGAGTAGGAGGCGGATGGGTGTCAGCAGTTACTTTGAGTGTAGAAGGAATGGGAGTAGAGACATTGGAGGATGGTGTATGTTAACTTGGGTCATGATTAGATAGTTTGGAATGTTTTCGAGAGTTTCTGCTGTCAAGTCGGTTAGAGAAGTCTGAGAAACAAAGGTTTTCTTATGGGAGGGAGACGTGGAGAGAGAGGTTGATGGAGAGGATGGGGTAAAAGATGGGATGGAGCGTTAAGCTTGTCTTGTGCGATGAGTTGGGTGAGGAGGCAGAGGTTTGGGTACTGGAGTGTCTGAAATAGTGGAAGAGAATGCGATGTCTGGATTTAGACTGGCAAAAGAATTTGACTGGGAGAGCGAGGGGGTAGAAGTGGGATGAGGAAGAGATGCTGGGGGAGATGTAGAAACATCTTGGGAGGAAAGGGTGTAGGGGGTGGAACATGAGTAGGAGGCGGATGGGTGTCAGCAGTTACTTTGAGTGTAGAAGGAATGGGAGTAGAGACATTGGAGGATGGTGTATGTTAACTTGGGTCATGATTAGATAGTTTGGAATGTTTTCGAGAGTTTCTGCTGTCAAGTCGGTTAGAGAAGTCTGAGAAACAAAGGTTTTCTTATGGGAGGGAGACGTGGAGAGAGAGGTTGATGGAGAGGATGGGGTAAAAGATGGGATGGAGCGTTAAGCTTGTCTTGTGCGATGAGTTGGGTGAGGAGGCAGAGGTTTGGGTACTGGAGTGTCTGAAATAGTGGAAGAGAATGCGATGTCTGGATTTAGACTGGCAAAAGAATTTGACTGGGAGAGCGAGGGGGTAGAAGTGGGATGAGGAAGAGATGCTGGGGGAGATGTAGAAACATCTTGGGAGGAAAGGGTGTAGGGGGTGGACATGAGTAGGAGGCGGATGGGTGTCAGCAGTTACTTTGAGTGTAGAAGGAATGGGAGTAAAGACATTGGAGGATGGTGTATGTTAACTTGGGTCATGATTAGATAGTTTGGAATGTTTTCGAGAGTTTCTGCTGTCAAGTCGGTTGGAGAAGTCTGAGAAACAAAGGTTTTCTTAAGGGAGGGAGACGTGGAGGGAGAGGTTGGTGGAGAGGATGGGGTAGAAGATGGGATGGAGCGTTAAGCTTGTCTTGTGCGATGAATTGGGTGAGGAGGCAGAGGTTTGGGTACTGGGGAAGTAGTGACTGAAGTGTCTGAAATAGTGGAAGAGAATGCGATATCTGGATTTAGAATGGCAAAAGAATTTGACTGGGAGAGCGAGGGGGTAGAGAGTTGCCACTTCAGACTCAAACTTGTAGATAGAGCAGCCCCTTTTAAATACATTATGGGAGCCGCCACAATTGGCACATGTGCGTGACTATGCAGAGCACTTTGATCGATTATGACTAGGTTGAGCACATAGAAGGCATCGGGTTGTGGAACGGCAGTGTTTATCAGGATGGTCTAGACGCCAACAATTCTGACACCGACAGGGGGGAGGTTGATATGATAGAACAGGAAGGGATTATCTGCCAATGTAAACATTAAAGGGGAGGTCATGTCTACGGAAGGTAATCTTGGCAGTATTGGTGGGGGACTTACGACGGTCTCTAGGGGAGATGGTGTAGCATTGTACTGATACTGTAACATAGTTCATGAGGCAGGCGAGTAAATCCTCCACAATCTGACCATTTTATGTCGTAGACAGGGAAGTTTGTTGGGGAGATAGAGATAGTTTCGGTACAAATATTGAGGGAGGGATGAGGTTAGGCAGGGATGGGTTTACCAGTGAAGTCTGTCAGGGTTGATAATGCTTTAGCTTGGGCTTCGGATGTAATTGTGACGAGACGGGAACGATCGGGAGTAGTAGAAGGACGGGGGCATGTGGAAGAGGGAGTAGTGTTGAGAGAGGCAGTACTGTGGAGAGGTGGACAGTTAATGGGGTAGGATGGGGTAGTTGATGTAGAAAGTTGTGGGAGTGGAGTTGAAGAAGAGGATGTTGGGAAAGGAGGGATGTCTCCTGGGGGTTTAGGAGTGACCTGGGTGGATGATGTGACAACAGGGATTAAGGGGGGGATAGTATTCCATGGACAGTGTTCAGAGTCGTGGTTAAGGGGGAGCCTGGAGTCGAAGAACCAAGAGAATTTGAATCAGTGGGGCTATTTGATGAAGGGACAAACCATATTGCCCCTAATAATGGTATTAAGTCTTCATTATTGGCTATGGTAAGTCTAGAGTATGTTGGGGAGAGAAACACTCCATCCCTCAGGGTCTCCTGGAGGGGTAAGGGCTAGACAACTAAACAGGAGAATACCGTGCCCATGGCTTCCCCAGGCTGCTCATGGCTGGCACAAAATCAGCCTTTCATTGTTTCAACATGGTTCTTACAGCTTAGGAAATAGATAGTAGAAGGGAGGGAAACGAAAGGGGGGAGGAAAAAATACCGTGCAAAATTAGTAGGTGAGGGTGATTCTCAGCATGGGGTGGGATTGTATTGTACCATATGTGACTACATCTTCTATTCTGTTGTTTATTTTTTATTCTTTGCGTACGGATAATCGTAGGTTAGAAGTCTATTTTATAAGAGCGTTTCCGAATTTTACTGCAATCCCAATTCAAAGCTGCAAACCAGAACTGACACACTAATCAGTCTCGCTCTTTAAACCACTAACCAGCAAACCAATATTTCGGTGTTTGTTTAATTACATGTATTCTTTCATATATACACAGGCGGTGTTCGATGCATGGGAGCGACATCAACTAGGAGATTCACTGCGTGGTCTCTTAACCTCACTCCAGGAGGACCTCGCAGAAGTTAGTAAGAAGGGCTTGCAGTCCAAATGTGCGAAGATTTCTAACATTGATGCTATCCTAACTAAGGAGTTTGAGAAACATGTATAGGGAATTTCGGAAGGTAGGCAACAAAAAGCAACAATGAATGAGTGATTAAAGAAATGGTATTGATACTGACTGATGTTATGAAATAAGCAAGGTGTTTATTTTTTTAAACGATAAAGTCTTCGAAGTATTACATGTTTCGAACTTTAAAGCTTGGACTTTCATATATTTTTTTAAATCCCACGCTGTGTTGACAATATATTTTAATATAATTATATGATTAATGTTCTTCCCGTCTATCTATTCAGTAGATTAGGTTCAAAATATTATATAATATTTCTTTATATATACAATAAAAGTAAAGATAATACACAAAAGAACATAAAGGTAAAAAAAATAAGCGTGCTACACAGTTTTCACAAAACTTTTGGAGTTAATACTATCAGACAAGCAGTTCAAGGTACGTACTGTAATTACATCGATTTAACATGATGCCAAAGACTTGCATGAAATATATATCCCATCTCGATAAACGACATGCATAATCCAAACCACAAGTCAACATTTCTTCCTTCTAAATTTCATCAGTTATTCATTCACTTTCGTATAAACTCTGGAAGACGGTTTTGTCCCTCGTGTAGGCATTTCTTCCTCGATTTTTCAGGTTAGTCGGAGTTTTACCCTCGCGTGTTGAGGTCTTCCGATATTTTTCCCTTTATTTTCACTTGCTGTTGCCGGTCTTCGCTAGATTTAAACTATAGCTATTGAGCCTGCTAACCGTCTCATTAGATACTGTGTGAATGGCTTCATAGAATCGAGCATCTGGCCTAGTAAATTGTGCAGGTTTAGGCGCTGTAAAAAAAATAATAAATCCATTGCTGCTACCATTTTTATTATTGTTAATGTTATGTTAATGTTGTTATTAGTATCATTATTATTATTTTCATTTTTTTATAATTATTGATACTATCATCATTAAATATAATAATCATCATTATTATTATCAATCATCATCATCATTATCAATCACCATCATCGCCACATTACCATCACCACCACCATTACTATCATCACCATCACCATTACTATCATCACCATCTTCGTGAGCACCACTACCACCACCACCATTACCATCATCAATTTCACCTAGAGAGCCTGTAGATCTACTATCGACGATTGCGATTTGCGAAGTTCTAGCTTCGCCCGGCCTGTGTCAGCTTTTTATGGCTGTCTCATTTTGTTCTCGACACTCGGTGCTTACCGTGGCGGTGGGATTGCCAGCAGGCGCTCCTGCTGCCATGGTGTAAGCGAATCGCAGTCTCTTTACCAGCACTGCGGCTGTTGTCGGCTAAAAGATCACAGTTTTATTAGTAATATGGATAATTGATAGATAATAATGATGACGATAATGATGATTTTTGATTAAGCATTGATATATTGAAAGTGCCAAAAAGAAATGGTGAAAATTGCCTCTCTCATCCTGTACATACACGCTCATTGATCCTTCATGGCTTATGACTTACCCCGTGTGTTTGCTCCTCTATTTTCCCTGACCCACCAAAATCATACAATCTCCCGCTTTCTGTCCTCCTAAATTATTTCCTTTGTAGTGCAACCTTATGGTCTCTCACGATCAAGAGTTTACCTTTAAAAAAAAATACGTTGGTAGGCTGCCACTGTCCGAATGAGGGATCGGAACCCATGTGTATGCGACACAGTAGAAGACGTGTAATTTAAAGTGTATGTGTGAGCGTCAGCCTGTGTGTAAAAGTGCAGTTAAACCCATGTGGGACTGACTGAGTAGGCGTGGTAAATTTCAAGTAGTCCTTCATTTATGATGTATTATCTATTTATGGTTAGAGGCTGCTCTCAAAACCAACTTTCATAGATATATTCATCCAAACCTCTTATATTCGGTATACCTTAAGTTCATCAAGACTTGTATTTCATGTTTAAAATAGTCTATTCTTTAGTGTAGAAAACTTATTGAATTATTATTGTTAAATAATAAAATGTCCAAGCTTCATTAGGATTTTTATATTTCTACAATAAAAGAAAAGTTATTCATGTTTGTATTTTTCCATCCATAACCTTCCATTGATCCTTTAGAATATTCATTTAAAAAGAATGGTTCATTTGAAAGAAGAGACAAAAAGTCATATTTATTAAGCTCCGATAAACGGTCTCCAGCGTTTTTTCCCCTCAAAGCCACGACCCATAAAACAAAAAATATCAAAATTGATTCTTAAAAATGAATGGCAAAGGAATAGGAGCTCATGGAGTCGTGTGTGTTGCTTTCCGCCGGGCTCCCCAGGACATAGGTGGTCTCTCGGCATGGAAGCTACAGCTTTGGTCCTTCCGACCAGTGAATGAGACGACAGCTTCGCCCGGGTCTTCCAATATAAGTGGCCTGCTTGTGTCAATTATATGATTCAGCAAGCTATATGATGGTCCTCGTTTTCTTATAGGCACGTAGCTGGCGTGATCCGCGAGCCCAGCGAATCACACCTTGATCATGTCTCCACTCATTCCTCCAGTATTCATTTTTACACTGATGGTTCTAAAACCCTCTCCGATGCTGGCCTCGCAGTATTATTGTCCGCCTTTCGCCTTAAAACGTACATACTCCCTTATCTTGTACAGCATCCTATCACCGCCAGAACTGGTTGCTCTACCTGACTACGTGCAACAAATCTGTCCGGTTTGGCTGGGTGCCCAGCCATGTCGGAATCCCTGGCAATGAACAGGCAAATACTCTAGCACGCTACGCCTCTTTGACCACATCACACCAATCCCGTTTCTAACGTATTCCAGCCACGGATTAATACCCCCACTTTAAGACCTACCTTCTTGCCCGCTGACAGTCTGCCAAATCTTTCACCAATAACTTACGTACTGTAAAATTATTAGTCTCCTCTTGGTCAGCCCTATTTCATCAGAACAGACGCTGGGAGACGGCTCCTGCATGCTTGCCTATTGCCACTCCTACGCACTCGTTTAATGTCGGCCCATATGTAATGTTTCTTTCAATTCCACACTATTGTCCTATCCACACTTTACTGCAGCCTGTACCTCTGTCTTCCCTCACCTATTCTCCCTTCCCCCACCCCAACCTATCAGACATCCTTACTGAATCCCACACTTTCTTTCCTCGGACGCATACATATTCTTAACTAGATATAATTCCCTCTTTGTGTATTCCTACCTTAACCCATTTACTCATCCTCTCCACCTTTACCCATCTTTACTCTTTCCAATACCACCCTACTGCTGATGTGTAACACCTAATATCAACTCACTCCCTCTTTACCCTTTCCGATACTATACCTTCTCATAGTGTTACATGACTTTTGATGTCTAGCACATTTATTTTGCTTTTTAACCATTAATCATTTACCATTTTGAGACGATGCTTGCAGTTCTGTTCTCTCGTTGATAATCCCTGTCTTCTACCAGGAGCTAATTATCCATTAACACATTTCAGTCTGCATAATGTGGTAATTTGCATGTGGGTTTATACAAAAATTAGGCTAATTCTGCTCTAGAGCAACCTTAATTTCCTACACAGTTAATATTAAGGTCATTAAAATTTCTAGGATATAAAAAACAACAAAATGCAATTTACACCTCACTATTTGCCGATTTCCTTTTGTTTATTTGGTTAATTCAGAGTGAGCTAAGACCTTTCTTGGGAAAAAGGTAAATTTTGATAAAAAAAAGTAAAAAATGAAAAGGGTTAAACGTAGTAAGGATTGATGATGGTTGATGATGAAGGTTGATGAAGACGATGGCTGATGTTGATGGTTAATGATAATGGTTAATAGTGATGATGGCTGATGATGATGGTTGATAAAGATGCTGGTTGATGATGGATTGGTGATGATGATGGTTAATAATAATGATGATGGTTGATGGAGATGATAGTTGAAGATAATGGTTAAATGATAACAGTTGATGATGATGATGATGGCTGATGAAGATGATGGTTGATGATGAAAGTTGATAATGGTGATGGTGAAAGATGATGATGGTTGACGGAAATGATGATGGTTGAAGATAATGGTCGATAGTGATGGTGATGATGATGATGAAGGTGAAGATGATAGGGAACAGCTGTGCGGCAGCAGCAACAAGAGTTTCTTTTAAATAATAAACAATAAAAATTGTCAATAAGTAATGCATAATAAAAACACTGTGACTGAAGCTGATCATCGATGATGATGATTGATGATGATCATGATGATCATAATAATAAAAATTATGTCAATAGTGAGTATTATTCTTATTACTAGAATTGTTTGTGATGGTATGAAATTATTATTATTAATATTGTTATTATTAACATTAATAATAATAATGATTATATTATCATTCTCATTATTATAAATGTAATTAATATAATAAGGATTGGTATAGCTTGCCATAATACAGTCACCTTCACATTCAAAAACATATATCATAAGAAAATAAATATCCCCAACAAAATGAAGGTTAATGAAACCGTTCCATAAATGCACATTTTATTATAACAATGATGGTGTGTTGGTGCGCAGGGCGCAGGGAGGGGCATGGGAAGCGTTTACCGAGGGAAGGAAAAAGTGTGTGACAAGCCGCCGGGTCTCCACTAACAAAGAGGGAGAGCTATGAGGCTTCTAAGACTTGGCTAATTATTATACCTCTTTCATTACTGCACTATTATATTTTCTTTTAAACTGACAATTTACTCATAATTTACAAAGTTACACTATAGTCCCTACTCATTACTCAATAATTTTGTAGATAATGAATTCAAGGTTTACAGTACATTATTACATATCCCTTGAAAGAAGACAATACAAGGATGTTACTACAGTAATACTGCCATTTATTACTTCAGGATGCAGTAAATGGAAAGCATATAATTCACTTAAAATGTATCAAACATTACATAATAGATGCATGACTTGTTCTGATCATTCAATGCCCATGTGTGCATTTATCAGTATTCTAATATTAATGGATAAGCAGAGTGCACCTTATTTTATCACCAAAATACACTTGTTTTATATTACTTGCATAAAAGGTTAAATATACTTCGCTTAAACAAAATGACCTTTACAAAAATCATCACAAATAATGCAACAGCAGTATAATTACTCACCCACAGTGTAATAAATGGAGGTCTTCCTGCATAGACAAAAAAAAAGAAAGAAAAAAAAAGGCACAAACAATGATAATCTCAATGACAATCTTCTCACTGATAACAGCCATAAATGATGGCAATTATAAACATTGAATTCTTTCTGTGTGGGCATGTCTCAAGAGCATCAGGTAAGAGTGGCAAGACAAAAAGGATCACTAAGGATAAATATTTACAAACTAGATTGAAATGTACACGAGATAAAACAAGAAAACCACCAAAGATGATGAAAGTACTGACTCCAAACTCAGAAAAGTTACATCTCTAAGTTATGTCCACATATACTTGGAATGTTAAAAAAAGTAACTCATGACATTATCAATGAGAAAAGATTCATCACTTCTCATGCATTTCACAATGTTGACCATGAATAACCTTTTTTATTTATTTGGTGTGTGAATATTTACATCATGCCTTTAAAAGAAAAACTTCATAACCATTACACAAATAATTTTGTATATACCTTAAACATGTATTGAGATACTGTAAATGAAGCTTACTTACTGATATAACATAGTAAGGATCATTCAGATGATCAAAGACTGTTTTGTATATACACTTTCAATTCTGCCTTTGCACTGGATTCCTCATTTCTGCTTATTTCCAACATTACACCAAAGCAGTATTTGAGATTCTTACACATTCAATGTGTATCATTTATCATTCTAGTCTTACCCTTATTTGGAAACAAAAATCACCTTGAATAATTCTTTCATAAAAACACTTATAAAAATTACATATAATGAAAACCCTGATATTCTTACTTGTGAAATACAAGGGGACTGAGTCTTTCTATTACAAATTGAGAAATTGTCATTCTATCTTCTACAGAATTGAATTACTTCACCAAAGGTGCTTATCAATTCAGCTCATAATCATAATCACAAATATAAAAATTTGATTTCATTCCAAACTGAGAAAAAATAAAGCATCACAAGTTAATCTTACCCTTATTTGGAAACAAAAATCACCTTGAATAATTCTTTCATAAAAACACTTATAAAAATTACATATAATGAAAACCCTGATATTCTTACTTGTGAAATACAAGGGGACTGAGTCTTTCTATTACAAATTGAGAAATTGTCATTCTATCTTCTACAGAATTACTTCACCAAAGGTGCTTATCAATTCAGCTCATAATCATAATCACAAATATAAAAATTTGATTTCATTCCAAACTGAGAAAAAATAAAGCATCACAAGTTAATCTAAAATTATACTTGGACCTTGTTAAATATACAAACCATGACTTACCATCTCAAAACAGAGCTCTGCATTAAATATTTACTAAATACTTCATGATTCCCAGTATTAGATATACAGCCCGGCGGCAAAAGTAGCTTAGGAAGAGAGAGCTTGTAGGGTTCCACTGGAGAGGATGGTGTGAAGGGAGTAAGTCATTGAACGCTTCATACCAGAACTTTACATACCAGCTTGCTATCTCAGTCTTTACAGTCACAAGCAACACCCACACTACACGGCCACCATAAAGCAATTCTGTACAGCAACTTTTCTACTGCTGTGCCATGTAAAAATCATTCCTTATCATTAATCTGTACTTCTAAAGCCTTACAGTTTTGGACCTAGAATGAGATACATGGTATTCATCGGTAATGACACTGAGAATAAAACAAGGGTTCCTTGTAAATAAACAATAATGTGAGACGATAAAGAGTATGAAAGGAAGGTAAACAAGTCAGTCAAAAGTCAATAAAGACTGCAGTGGAATGTAATTCTTGAGTGGTATATTTTGTGTCACTGTATGTCAGTGCTGTCCAACCTAAAACAAAAATCCAGATCAAGAAATTTTGAAAATTCTAGCTGGAAACAGGGTTCCTAAGGTGTCTTTTCAATTTGTGATTTACAAAGACTGGGTGACAGAAATGTTCTTGCATACTCAGAATACAGAAACTCTTTCCTTTTTCTACATCAAGAGCAGAAAAGTCTACATGGAACTTTCCGTGCAAGCTGGGCAAAAAGATGAAGATGAGGCACATGTCATTGCAAACTGGACAGTTATTCCAACTGCTGCCAGAGAGCATAAGTTATAAAATATTTGCCTGTTGCACCTAACTCTTTTATTGATGCAGCATTCTGAATGCCAGGTGACAGTACATCAGATTGGACAGCTCTAAAGATACACTGGGGTTTGTTGTGCACTTCTGTTTGTATCTGTGTGTTTGTTTACATTTGTGTGTGTTTGTGTTACATGATCTAAATCACATCTGGTGTTAAACATATAAAAACACTTCATTGTGTTTTTAATGAGTTTATTCTTCTATATGCCCTCATTATATCCATTCACTGTGCTTGTTGACTTAGATGTGATTGGGATGAGAGCAATATGGGAGAACCTGTATGATTTACAGAAAAAAAAAAAAAAAAAAAAAAAAAAAAAAAAAAAAAAAAAAAAAAAAAAAAAAAAAAAAAAAAAAAAAAATCTTATCAATTCAGCTCATAATCATAATCACAAATATAAAAATTTGATTTCATTCCAAACTGAGAAAAAATAAAGCATCACAAGTTAATCTAAAATTATACTTGGACCTTGTTAAATATACAAACCATGACTTACCATCTCAAAACAGAGCTCTGCATTAAATATTTACTAAATACTTCATGATTCCCAGTATTAGATATACAGCCCGGCGGCAAAAGTAGCTTAGGAAGAGAGAGCTTGTAGGGTTCCACTGGAGAGGATGGTGTGAAGGGAGTAAGTCATTGAACGCTTCATACCAGAACTTTACATACCAGCTTGCTATCTCAGTCTTTACAGTCACAAGCAACACCCACACTACACGGCCACCATAAAGCAATTCTGTACAGCAACTTTTCTACTGCTGTGCCATGTAAAAATCATTCCTTATCATTAATCTGTACTTCTAAAGCCTTACAGTTTTGGACCTAGAATGAGATACATGGTATTCATCGGTAATGACACTGAGAATAAAACAAGGGTTCCTTGTAAATAAACAATAATGTGAGACGATAAAGAGTATGAAAGGAAGGTAAACAAGTCAGTCAAAAGTCAATAAAGACTGCAGTGGAATGTAATTCTTGAGTGGTATATTTTGTGTCACTGTATGTCAGTGCTGTCCAACCTAAAACAAAAATCCAGATCAAGAAATTTTGAAAATTCTAGCTGGAAACAGGGTTCCTAAGGTGTCTTTTCAATTTGTGATTTACAAAGACTGGGTGACAGAAATGTTCTTGCATACTCAGAATACAGAAACTCTTTCCTTTTTCTACATCAAGAGCAGAAAAGTCTACATGGAACTTTCCGTGCAAGCTGGGCAAAAAGATGAAGATGAGGCACATGTCATTGCAAACTGGACAGTTATTCCAACTGCTGCCAGAGAGCATAAGTTATAAAATATTTGCCTGTTGCACCTAACTCTTTTATTGATGCAGCATTCTGAATGCCAGGTGACAGTACATCAGATTGGACAGCTCTAAAGATACACTGGGGTTTGTTGTGCACTTCTGTTTGTATCTGTGTGTTTGTTTACATTTGTGTGTGTTTGTGTTACATGATCTAAATCACATCTGGTGTTAAACATATAAAAACACTTCATTGTGTTTTTAATGAGTTTATTCTTCTATATGCCCTCATTATATCCATTCACTGTGCTTGTTGACTTAGATGTGATTGGGAGAGAGCAATATGGGAGAACTTGTATGATTTACAGAAAAAAATATGAATTTCATCAATGTCTCCGAGAAAGGCATTAAAACCATAAGCTTCAATCTTTCAAAACAATGAAAGAGAAAAGAAAGAAAGAAAGAAAAAAAAGAATTGAAAAATATGTGTAATTAAAATCCAATGAAAGTCATAGGTGAAATTCACACATTTTCTTTAATGAAATGCTGTCATCCCAAAAAACTATTTGAAACTCATCACCTCAACATGTACTTAAAGCATACATACTGCCATTTATAGGTGAGTCTGTGTTGCTTTGGTGTGTGTGTACTTTTCATATATACATATACACATTACATAGCAAGTGTATTTACTCCTTAAACCAGTTCAGATATCAACTCTATCCATGACTGAGGTGATTATTATGAAAGAAAAAATGGTAAAAATGGATTTAACTGATTTACATACCTTCCATCACAACATCCAAAAACAAGAACTAAAGTGGGAAAGGACCTCAAGAAAGCACCAACACTTTGTGCCTATTTTGTGCCTCTTCCATATCATGTGAGAGGTAGAAATAATCAATACTGTCTTCCATAATAATAACATAAAATGTTACAAAAGTTCATTGCACATTGAGAAATAATAATGAAAAAAAAAGAAATTACAATAGTACTGAAGGAAAAAAAATATATAAGTAGTTTAATCTGCAAGAATCACCATGACCAAACTCACTTTCATTAAATTACACGCAAAAGCAGATGGGACTTTGATCCTTTCCTGTGTTCCACTCATTGTCTTTCAAAGCTTACACATTTATCAATTCTGTACCCAAAAAAAGGGTGAGTCCACATCAATGTCTGATTTAAAATTACAATCCAAATTGGGAAGAATAAAGCCGACCTGCTTCTGCTTGTAATCGTTTATTCACTTTCCTTGTCAGACATGGTGTATCTTTGGAAATACGACTGTCAATTCAACACTGTGAAAAGATCAGTAATTACTAATAAACTTAAATGAGTTGCTTCCTTTGTGAGGAGCATAAGCCTTATAGAATCTGTATCAAAGGCTCTAAATCACTGATCCTACTACTTATCTTAAATACTTCTACAATGGACAAGAGTACGTTATATACAGATTATCCAAAGTCTAAATAAACGTTGTCAGAGTTGAGTCTGTGACAGAAGGATTTGGAGCAAATTTTATTCATTCACCACTTTTTTTGTTTTTTTCCTATGAGAGTATTATAGCAACAGGATCAGGAAATATATTACATAGCATATATACTAGACAAGAGCAGAGGTGTGATTGAGCCCACATGAATGACTTACATACAGTTGTGATGCTGAGTGTCCAAGCAAGTTCACTTATCACAGGCCCTATACAACAGTTACATTAGAGAGACGCACAAGAACAGGCTGTGTTACCAGATTACAACAACCATAGCACACGAGCCTATAATTCTGCACAAGTCTTCTGTCAAGTTGTAAAAAGTCTTGATTATATTTGTTGATACACACAATTATCAAATCATTTGTTTATATTTATCTGCATTACAAAAATCATAACAAGATGGGTAAAACTATATGTTCATTACAACCACCAATCAAATTGTATAAGTTTTGGTGTTTTAACTCATTTTTCTTAAAATTACTAAAAAATAATGGGCATCTGTATCAAACACCAGTGACTATATCAACATTGTTCATTGACAATCATAATCATTAAAGTCTGTACAGTCAATATCCTTGGAATTGTCAGTTATTAATATCATAAATCCATCAAGCATTCCTAATGTCCATATAACAAGTATGTTACAACAACTTGCCCTTAGAATCTTTTGTATCAGTTATCCTGGATGACTGCACAGATACAGTTTGATCAAGACAGGAAATGAAATAGGGGTCCTATATCAGTATTGTATTTCCTTATCAACACATTATCTTACTCGTTTCACAGTGTTCTTCACTAATTAGGGCTACAAAAGTTTTTTTTTTTTCCAGGTTCCTCTAAAGTTCTATCGATATCCAAAGCCGAGCCCTTTAGCATTTCCTTGCAATTAATATTACTGAATAATGTCTCTACTTTTAACTAAGTCACTTCTTACACCCTATGTCTTCTCATGCTTTCTAAAGTGTCACAACAAGTACTGTGAGCAGTGTCTTATTACTCAAGGATTTGATTTACCTGACACTACCTATGGAATACTTTGATTACAAGAGATTTACCAAAGGAGAAGAAGTGGTCTCTTGGCACTAGGGTGGTATGTACATAATACTGGTGGTGAGTGGGGAGTAGATCAGGACTCTTCATGCAGGGTTCTCCTAGAGTTCCCGCTTATTCTGTCTCTCCCCAAAGCCCACACTTACCAGCCCACCCATGCGCTTCTGGCAAAATGCAAAGCTATGGTGAGGCTATGACTCGAATGCCGAACATAAAGAGGGAGGCTCGAGTGCCCTTCCAGGTAGGCTGGGCTCGGTGGGGCAAGCATCTCACAGGTACACCTTCTTGACAGAGCGGGTGGTCGAGTATCCATCCACCAGCCTGTGATCGTAGTCTCGTGGTCGGTGGTCACGTCCCCGGGTTCCGTATTTCTCCGAGGAGCGCAGAGTGCCGTGGGTTGAATACGACTCCGGGGTATAATGCAGTGGGATGTCATGGGGTCCAGCTGATACCCCAGTGGTAGGAAGCCCTAGGGATGGTCCCATGGGGGCACCTAACGTCCCCACATTGGCTCCAGGGGTATTTGAACCAGGAGTCTTCAGAGTAGCTTTCGGGGACATGTTAAGCATGAGGTTTACAGGTTTATTGAGTGTCTGAGGAACTAGAACAGGCTCTGCATACGTCACTTCTTCTTGCAGTTCTCCAGTCAGGTGGCTAGAAAAGAAAGAACAGCACATCAACAACAGTTTTTAAATCTTTGTTCAACACATGTTTAAAGTCAGGAACCATATGGATACATCTTTGTTCTTATCATTTCTAAGTTACTAACTCAATATCGTTCTCTATATATTCATATTCAACAAAGTTCAAAACTGGCTGTGTAGTGTAATTAGGCTCACTCAATGAGAAAATGAAGTACCTTTTGAACATTTTTGGTTCAGATTTTTGCTGCATTCTATATGATTGAATGGTGAAAAATAATTCACTCTTTTCTATATTAGAAAACACTAATAATTTTGACAAAGAAGAAATTTCTACATCTGATTTAAGAAAACTTGTTTTCTAATTTCAATATTTCACACTCTGTCAATGCGGATTTATCTATCAATTTTTTTTTACTTTGGCAGCAGAAATAAAATGACCACGAAGCAAACACATCAGAACACTGTGTTTGTTTTAATTTTCTCAGAACATGATAATGCCTGCCCCCAAATTACCATAATTATCTTTATTATCATTAATATATATAAATTTAAATATATAAATATAAATATATAATGTATAATATATACATACATACATACATACAT